AAATCTGTTCACTTTTGTAATTTTCACTTCGTTTCAAGAACCGTAATCGACCCCCTGTTCAGTGATTTTGCTTCTCTCTCCGTTCTATGGCAAAAAGCCGTAACTAATAAACTACTAGTTTTTACGAAAAAATGGCATGTTGATTGGCTACCGCTTCGCTTTCTGCTGCGCGGCAAGCGTTTCTGCGTTCTATGAGCAAGAGTCGTTACTATGTTTATGTCTAAATTCACAGTTTATAAAATCTCTTTGGTCTTTTGGTGACGATTGACGATATCGACGATACTATTGTGATTTTTGTTAAAGAAATTAATTTTCTGTGTTATTAAGTGATTAAAGAATTTGTAATGAGGAAATTAGATTGTCAAGAGTTATGGGGAGCCGACAGATTAGAAGCTCAGTTAGAAGTCGCCCGCGATGGGCTTCGTGGTCTCGATCGCAGCATTCGTAAAATCTTGGGCCGGGATATTCCTGATGGTGAAAGCGGTCCATTGCAATCTAGGTAATATTTAATTCGAAAATCTTTAATTTATTTTCTAAATTTATTTATAAAATTATTATGAATTTTTAAAGTATTTCATAATAACAGTCATGAGATATTTTAGCAATTTATATATATATATATATAACTTTCATTATCACGGAATTCTCATACATTTTTGTGTAATCTTTATTTTTGTACTACTTGTACTATATTTTTCTCGTTTATTTCATATGTATGTTACTTAAAGCGATATTTATAGTTGGATGTTATATATAAGATGACTTTCTATTGCTACTTTTACGCGAGCGTTACTTCTCAGTAACTTACGATAATTCACTCGTTTACACGGAGTAAATTATCGTAAGTTACTACAGAAGTAACGCTTGCGTAAACGTAGTAATATCAGCCTTATATTACACACACACACACACACACACACACACACACACACACACACACACATATATATATATATAAAACATTATATTTTTATTATATATTAAATAACTATATATTTATATATTCTTGTTAGTGTGATTGTGTTAGGTGTAATTTTGTTTTATTTAATTCATTATTTTCTAGAATACCTCAAAAACGACTATTGCAAGAAGATCGTCGAAGAACTATAACAGAGTTTGTGAATAATGAACTGCCTGGAGGCAAACGGCGCTGGCAAGGGAGTTCAAATGTAGAACCAAAAACAGTTTTTAGTCGATTAAGTGCACGCGTTCCATCTACTGCAGATGACAGTGCTGATGAAGACGATAGCATTGCTAAGGTATTTATTTACGTATATATGATCTTGAAAATATCATATATTTTGTTTGTGATTGATACTTCTTAATAGAAACGTCTGTCTAATATAAAAATATTTAATGGTTCTGCAAAATTTACATTCTTTAAATTTTTCCAATTTTGGTTGTACACTGACCAGCAGGAATGCCTGGACATTTCAATATGTATTTGTACACACACACACGCATACGCACGCACACTACACATTCAATTTGAGATACTTCGTGAATATATAATGTATTAAAATATTTTTAAGGGTAAATATTTCTCTTTTTATATAGTCAACCCCGATGATCTTGACCTTTTTTTTCTTTTTTTGATAATGGAGTCGATGATCTTGACCTTGACATATGTTGTCAAGGACATGAATGTGAGCAACTTTTCGTTATAACTTAATCGTCGCTCATTGGTTATTTAAAAGTTATGAACAAAAAAAGTTTGAAAAATATACGAATTTGTGTCAATACTAAGGGAAGTAATTTGCTGACATGTATGCTGATGTGTGTAGACAGTACACATGTAAGCGAGGGAGGGGGATAGCCTCTCCCCCGCAGGCAGGGGAGGGTAGGGATAGACCTCGGTTTGTGTGGAAAGTTGAAAACCCGAACCGTACAACGATAAACCTGACACAAACTTGTAAATTTCTCAAAATTTTTTTATTTATAACTTTTAAATAAGCAATGAGCGACGATTAAGTTACAAGAAGAAGTTATTCAGGATCATGTCCTTGACAACATATGTCAAGGTCAAGATCATCGGGGCTGACTGTGTAAAGAAATATTTACCATTATATTTAATGTAGAATTTGATAATAAAAATAAAAATATTTTTATTTAATTTTTAAAGTTATATCAAGGTTATTTTATTTTTTTAATTGAAAATTATATTTTTATTTCAGCATTATAAAAAGGCAGGAAAAAACAAATTTAAGGATTTGTTTGAAACAGCCTTAAAGAAATTCAGAATAAGAAAAGAAAAGAAACTTTTGAGACAGACTCCATTTAATTTACTTTATTTTATACGCGTTTATTCTTTATTTATAAATTATTTTGATATTTGATATTGATATAAATTCAATAATTTGATGACACAAACTGTATTAGAGATCATGCAAGCTTAAAAAAAGCATAAATATATTATAAATTTTCTCATATTTTTTATAATAAATTAACACAAAAAAATTTATTTTATTGTTTTGATTTACTTAAATTATACTTTTTTATTATACTTTTTTAACCATGTATTTTGACTCGTCAAGTATAATTTTCTATAATCTTTGATGTATTCTACTCTAATATTTGTACATAAGATAAACTAATATGTATCTTAATGTTTATTAAGCCTGCTGTATCATCCAGAGTAATAGCCACTCCTCGAGAAATTCCTTCGCGTCAAGAGGTTATTAGACGAGAAAGAACAGATGAACGTAGTCGACAAAGAAATAAACGTATGTTTGGTGCACTTTTGGGTACTTTACAAAAATTTAGACAAGAGGAAACTAAACTTAAGGCAAAGGTAAGATATATTTAGGTAAGGTATATTCAGCAAATAGATATATTTATCATTAAAATATGTGATGTCTCATTTACAGGAAGATAAAAAGGCAGAAGTAGAAGCTAGAGTAGAAGAGGCTAGACGACGAGAGAAAGAAGAACTACGAAAAGAGAGACAACAACTATTTTTATCACGAAAACGACAATTGGCTGAAGTACGAGCATTGGAAGCAAAGCTCACACGTAGTCGGCAGTTTCAAGATTGGCGCAATGCACAGTTGCCCCTTGTTTCTTTTATAAAAACGCATGCACAACCTTCTATTTATTATGTACCAAAGCGTAAACATCCACAAACGGACATGTTACTAGCGCAGTCCACAAAAGAACTTCATGGTTAGTATTCTCATAAATATTGTATGTAATTTTATTTATTTATATACTTACGCGAATGTATATAAAATAGTATATTTATCTTGTATTATTTCAGAGGAAATTGAAAGAAGAGAAAAAGCTTTGGTTGAAGAATTAAATCTAATAGAGGTTCAGATAGGTTTAGGCAAACATTCACAAAACTTTGAAGCATCTTCATCTTTACATACTGTAGAAGCTGCACCTTTAATACAAGAGGGTGAAGAAAATCGAGATCCTAATCCAGAACATAATATTGAGACTGCAATCAATGATAATGCTGATATTTCAATACAGTCTATAATAAATGAAAACTTTGATAATGATCATACTATTGAGAAAAAAGAAGAAGTACAATTGGAAATAATTCAACCAGAAGTAAACAATGGCTAGAATAAAAATCGCTATGATAAAAAGAGTTATACATATTAATATTATATACAGCCGATGGTCCAACATAAAATGAGGATTTTCATAGTAGGTTCTTTTAACATTGTTTTATGATTGTACAATTAAAGATATTCCTAAAAGATAAAAAAACTTGTAATTTTATTACCATATAAATCTGTAGTTTACCTTCATGGCTTTTAGTCTCCTTACAGAAAAATGAGGTGAATTTTTCCTTGAAATAAATTAGCTTATTTATATATATTGTAAATCAGTACTCTTGCACAATGCCAAGCAACAAGCAATGGAAAGAGGAAATAACCAAAAATTCGTTAATTAGGCACAACCTAAAAAATTCGAATGCTACGATTGTTTGGCAACAGGTAATAGGCACAGAATTTTCAACGTGACGGAAACTCTGTCTAAAAATAGGTAAGAGCACATGAAATAAATAGGTAAACTTTTCTATTTAAGGGTAGAAAAACACTTTCCAAAAAATTTCAAGTGAATTCATTCTTCGAGAACAAATTTCCAAATAACGCATGTTTTTCGCCTACGTTGCCTGGACTATATTGCCTGTGCCACTGTTTATTCTGCATTTATACATGATTTCTTTCTATTGCCTATTGTCTGGCATGTACCGGGTTGTGGCTGATCACTGATTAAAACGAGCATAATTTTAATGAGATTCGTTAATTAATTTGGCTAAACTTTGGGAAAAACCATTTGTGGTTCACGGCTACAAATGGTTTTTCCCAAAGTTTATTTAGCCAAATTAAATAACGAATCTCATTAAACTTATGCTCGTTTTAATCAGTAAGATTAGCCGCAACCCGGTACTTAAGCCCGTATCAGACTACGGATTGGGATTGAGATTAGATTGAAATTTAATCAATCAGAACAGAGAAAACTGATCTCAAGTTTAGTAAACTTTGCTCTGATTGGTCAAATTTCAATCCAATCTCAATCCCAATCCGTAGTCTGATACGGGCATTAAGGCTGATTTATAGAGACTGTAATCGTTGATTTAAGCCGTAATCTTTAAGAAATTGACCAATCACAGTCGATTTTTCTTCTCACATTCGACTGTGATTGGTCAATTTCTTAAATATTGCGGCTTAAATCAACGGTTACGGCCTCTATAAATCAGCCTTTATGCTTACGCATTATGCGTTGTGCAGAACTGTGTGCTCCCCGCAAAGGCCATCGCACACAAAATGCATAGCTTAGCATAGACCTAGTTTACATCGATCACTTGATACGCGTATTAAATAGTAAATAACTAGTAAATAAGTCTGATTATTGGCTGATCAGTTCAAATATACTATTTGATACGCGTATCAAGAGATCGGTGTAAACTAGGCCATAAGCGTAGCATAAAGGTGGAAGCACATAAAATTGCAGGAGCCATGAGCACGAATGCAGAAGCCATATGCGCA